TCAATGTGGATTTCACAAGTTTCAAAATCTCCCCTCCCCCCACCGCATCCCAAAACCAGTCCAACTCGTCCCTGCCTCCCTAACCTGTTCTTCCTCCCACCTATCCCCTCCTCCCACCCCAAGCCGCACCTCCATCTCCTACCGACCAACCTCATCCCGCCCCCTTGACCTGTCCGTCCTCCCTGGACTGACCTATCCCCTTCCTAACTCCCTACCTACACTCACCTTTCCTGGCCCCATCCCCGCCTCTTCGACCTGTTTGTTTCCTCTCCACCTATCCTCTCCTCTATCCCTCTTCTATCCGCCTCCCACTCTCTCCCTATTTATTTCAAAACCCCCTTCCCCTCCCCCTTTTCTGATGAAGGGTCTAGGCCCGAAACGTCAGCCTCTCTGCTCCTATGATGCTGCTTGGCCTGCTGTGTTCATCCAGCCCTGCACCTTGTTAGCTAGGAAAATGTTAGTTTATATACAGAAGGTAGGGTGCGGGGAGGGCATAAGGCAAAATGGTAGGTGGGGTTAGAGCCTAAAGAGAGAGAACAGTTGGACAGACATAGGAGTGGGTAACGATCTGGCTAAGAGAGTGAATAGCTGTTAATGGAGACTGTTAGTGGCTAACAATAGATAGTGTGTAATGGCAGACTATGTGATAACAAGTCCTGGTGTGTGGGGTATGGGGACTAGGACATGGGAGAGTTCAGGCCCTAAAATTATTGAACTCAAATTTGAGTCCAGAGAGCTGCAGGGTCCCCAAGTGGAAAATGATATATTGTTCTTCCAGCTTGTGCTGAGCTTCGCTGGAACACTACAGTACGCCTGAGACAGAGATGTTGGCCAGGGAACAGGGTGATGTGTTAAAGTGGCAGGCAACTGGAAGCTCAGGGTCATTTTTGTGAGCAGAACGTAGGTGTTCTCCGAATCGGTCACCCAGTCTACGCTTCATTTCCCCAACATAGAGGAGACCACATTGTGAGCAGCAAATGCAGTAGACTAGATATTGAGAAGTGCAGGTAAAACGCTGCTTCACCTGGAAGGTATGTATGGGCCCTTGGATACTGAGGAGGTAAATGGGCAGATGTTACACCTTTAGCAATTGCAGGGGGAAGGTGCAATGGGGCTGTTGGGGCTTGTTGGGAGTGAAGGAAGAGTGGACCAGGGTCTCCCGGAGGGAGCGGTCCCTGTGGAAGGCGGACAAGGGAGGCGAGGGGAATACATGTCTGGTGGCGGCATTTCGCTGGAGGTGGCAGAAATGGCAGCTGACAATCTTCAGGATGTGGATACTGGTGGGATGGTAGGTAAGGACAAGCGGAACCCTATCACTGTTACGGGAGGGAAGGGAGGGGTGAGGGCGGAATTGCGGGAGCTGGGTCGGACCTGGTTGAGGGCCCTGTCGACAACGTGGAATATTCCTTGTTGCAGCCCTATTCTGGCCCCCACCCACAACTCTTTCTCCAATATACCAGTCTATTTCTGACTCCTCCCTTCCCTTCCTTGACATCTCTGAGTCCTGGAGATTCCTCAGGTGAGGAAGAAGGTGGACATTTTGGAGGCTCCCTTGTTGAAGTTGGCCTCACCGGAACATATGTGACAGAGTTGGAGGAACTGGCAGAATAGAATGGAGTCTTTACAGGAAGCAGGGTGAGAGGATGTATAGTCCAGGTAGCTGTGGGAGTCAGTGGGTTTTTAGTGGTAATTAGTGGCCAGTTTATCCCCACAAATGGACACAGAGATGTCAAGGAAGGGAACGGAGGAGTCAGAAATAGACTGGTATATTGGAAAAAAGAGTTGTGGATGGGGACGGAATAGGGCTTCAACAAGGAATATTCCACTTACCCCACGAAGAGACAGGCATAGCTGGGTCCCATGCGCATATCCATGGCCATCCCTCTGACCTGAAGAAAATGAGAGGAGTTAAAAGAGAAGTTGTTGAGGGTAAGGACAAGTTCGGCCAAGCAAAGGAGGGTGGTTGTGGTTGGGACTTTCAGGCCTTTGCTCCAGGAAGAAGCGGAGAGCTCTGAGACCATCCTGGTGGGGGATGGACATGTAAAGGGATTGCACATCCATGATGAAGAGGAGGTGGCTGGAGCTTGCAAACTGGAAATTCCAAAACTGGAGTAAAGCATCAGAGCAATCATGAATGTTAGTGGGCAGGGACTGGACCAGGAGAGCAAAGACCAAGTCAGGGTAGGAAGAGATGGGTTCTGTAGGACAGGAGCAGGCAGAAACAATGGATCTGCCTGGGCAGTCCTGTTTCTGGACTCTCAGAAGGAGGTGGAAGCAAGCCGTTCGGGGCTGGGGTCTATCAGCTTGGAGGCAGTGGTGGGGCTGGGGATGGGTAAGATCAGCAGATGAAATGAAGTCAGTGACTGTAGTTGATACAATGGCCTGATGTTCCATGGTGGGGCAATGTCACCATTCTCTTACCAAATCATAGGGCAGCTCTCTCATTACAGACAGAAATAAATGGTGATGCTTTAACTGGAGGCTCACTATGCCTCAGGTGACGGGTGAGGTCAAGAAGTAGAATCTTTCATGGTGACCCCAGCCAATGTGGGAATTGAACCCACACTGTGGGTATCACTCTGCATTACAAACCAGCTAGCCAGCCAACTGAGCTAACTGACTCCCTAATGTAAACAAACATGGTTATAGGTAAATGGGAAAGAGCTGGTTAGGATGTAGCCCAACATAGTTCAGACTATGCCCAAGTTTTTAGAGTATAGAATGTGAGATAGTCACTAGTATGCGTTGGAATAGCCAAGTTTAAAGATAACAACAATGTGAAAGAAAAGAGATATATTTGTACAGCAACTTCAGAATCAAAGTGAAATGAGGGAATATTTTTACAGAGAGCATGTTTCTCACCTGCAATATACTGACTGAAAGGGTGGAGGAAGCAGATTTCATGGTAACCTCCAAAGGGATTTGAATAAGTCCTTCAAGGGAATAAAATTGCAGGACTACGGGGAAAGAACTGAAGAGTTCTCCACCGTAGCTGGGTCAAAATCCTGGAACTCACTTCCTAATACTGTGGGTATATCTACACTCAAGGACTGCAGCAGTTCCAGAAGGCAGTTCACCACCACCTTCTCCAGGGCAATTAGAGAAAGGGCAATAAATACTGGCATCACCAGCAATGGTCAAATCTCATGGATAAAAAACATAAAGGACTAATGAGAGAGTTCCAATGGCACTACCACAATGGGTTGAATGGCATACTTTTCAGCTGGAGAATTCTACAATGCTTCTATTTGCTTTTTTAAAAAATTGCAATAAGAATTGATGAATGCAGGAAATATTGCTAGTAATAAGAAACTGACAAAATCAAGTACAGTCTTTTAATTCTTTTAAAAGTGTAAAAGGGAACAATAATGGAATTTTTATCCCCAGTATGCAATACGCTTTGAAATAGTAACTGGTCCCCACCTTCCAGACATCAAAAGAATCTCTAGATGACACAATGAGTGAGCTTATTACATTCAAATAAAATTGAAGGAGATTGAGCTTGAATGTACTGATACTTGGTATTAAAGATGTATCTACCACCCGTTACAGGGACCAGTGCAAAATCCACACATCATTAAAATAAAAGTGACAGGAGTCATTTGAGCATGTTTGCGGCATCAGAGACAGCCTACAACCACACCATTTAGGAGTTTGACTTGACATTTCAAAGAACTGCACGGGATATTCTGACATTTACCCACTCACTGGCTTCAAGGCACAAAGAACAATTCACAGTGACTTAGATATCATTACGGAGTTTATTTAACCTGTTGTAGCAAAAAAGATCCATAATGGTAGTAACATCTTTATGAAACATAAAAAGAGCCATTTTTTTGATTTTTATCAGAGTTGTGCTTGGAAAATCTAAATATATATTTTTATCATACAAATGATTTTTTTCTTTTTTTTTCGTAAATAAGTGCACCAGTTGTTAAAACGCATCCACCTTCTACACGCATCACCACCTTCAGAGAAGTGCAGTCCAAGTTGGCTTGAAAATTAAAGAAAAGGGGAGTTGCCCTCACAACTCCAGAGAAAAGTTTAAAGTGGATCAAGGGTGAAACCTTACAAAGCAGTCATTAAGCCAAAGAAGCAAGGATACACCGTTCAATTGCAACAATTGATATGACAAATGGAAGGAAATGCAGAAAAGAAGATTTTCCATACAAAGTTTTACTCCCTATTTTCGCCATCATTTATCCAAACTTTTTAAAAAAGATTTGGCGGTCAAAAGGGCATTTCTGGCACAAAAATGACTTTGTATAACAGAAAACAGTAAAGTGTATGACTATCAATGAGAGACTATAGAGACTAGAAACAAAATAATAAAAGATCCCAGCAAACACAGAAGAATCTACAATCAATGTTTTAAGTTATCATGGCTCAATATATTACACATATGTATATATATTTATATATGTACAGTCTTCCCAAAAAGGTGGCAGTGCAACACTAAATTTTTTGACTTTAAAAAAAAAATCAAGTAAGGAAACACATATTGTACCTCAATCTATGTACAGCAGATACTGTTATGTTCTGTTATTGTCAGTATCTGGAATGCAAATATACAACATGCCTTCGTAGAAAAAAATGGGACTCACCGCCACACATTGAGCCTTAAAGTGAAAACAGATCAACTGAAACCTAAGAAAACATATCCATCAAGCGGTGTAGTCCCAGAGTGAGTCACTGATACCCACCCCTCAAAAAAATAACATGGAGTAGCTAATTGTGTTTCTCACTGAGAGGACACGTCTGCAAATCTGTTAGAAATTGCAGATATTGCATGGCATAGTTAATCATGCTGCAATGCAGAATGATGCAAGTTGACCTCGGAAATAAATTTTACATTATTATTTTTTTGTTTAGTAGTCTGTTTGCAGGGTGTGTCAGGGCTACTACAAGAACCTATTAAACTTGGCTTTAACACGTTAAATTCCTCCAGTCCTGATTCTGACATTGCACTAATATAAACTTTTTCATGTGAACCAGTTGGTTTTAATATCAAAGAGATATTGGTCATGTCAAAGAGCAGACACATGACTGATTCCACTCTACTGGCCAGAACTGTTATCACATGCATGACATTGGGATTGCTAGATGCCTGGAAATCAGGGGCAGAGAAACTACTTTTCTCTTTGAATCATCCGATTAAACAGACAAATAATGAAATGAGTTTACACTTGTGTAAAAACCATTGACTCGAAAGAAAAATGAGTCAGGGTAACAATTTTGATTCAATTACAATGATGTACAGAGAAGGTTTTAATTGACATCTTCCTCTTCCCTTATGACTCCTGCCAGTTGGTACTATTATTGCTGCCTGCATATCCCAGCTAAAGCCTTGATGGATAGACGTATGCAGGCACACAAAAGAACCTATTTGGACTGGTGTGTCAGCTCATCTTTATCAAGTGTTGTACAGGTATATTTTGCTGCCATGCTTCATTACCCCAGAATGGTACGCCTGAAATGTTTGACGGTTCTGCCGTCTTCCCTTTCTACTAAAAGCCTGTGTACGTTGTTAGGGAGCCTTCCTATGTGAGTTATGAAGAAATGTTGACCAATTGCTATTACATTCAGCAAGAGGATGAATCGACACCTTGGGGGGAAACTATAGATGTTATTTCCCCAGTTTAGCTCCGGGCAGGTGAACAGTGTTAATGAGGTACCCCTTACCTTAATATTGACAGAAAACTGTCCCTGCTCCAACACAGCCGCATATTGGCTGGAATATATGCAGAATTGTTACCCCGGGGTCTGAACAGACATGTTTCACTTTTTTTTAATTGGTATTCAGTTTGATGTAATGACCCCAAGTTACCCTGGACCATTCTATCAAGTGTCCTTCTGGCCCAACTTACTTTTGGATCCCCAATAACAACATAATTCAGGTTGGCTTTAATAATTCCACATTCAGTGTATTTACTAACAATTTCTTAAATCCTCAGAATCTAGGAACATCGAGGCACTCATTTTAATATCCATGTTGTCTCATCAGCACATTTTAACATAACCTTCCATGCAGAAAATCACACAAAGAAAAGAGTGGTTAGGACTGAGTAACAGATGTACTATTGTTACATCTAGATACAGACTATGGGTTAGTCCCAGTGTTGGAAGGGGATGTGCCATACCAGCACTCAACTGGCATCACAGGGCTACCAGCTAAGAGATCTTTTTAGCCACATATCAGCAGTCATGTCAACTCAGCGGTCCTGTTTATTATCCCCGCCCCACCTCCCTACTTCAAAAAATGTACTATTCATAAATTTAGTACCATAAATCATCAATTGGATTTATCTTCATGTCCTAGCACAGCACAAGATTGATGGTTTGACAGAGCAGTGCTGAACATGAAATGGATTGAAGCAGACACATCAGCATACTTTAGGACTAGTCTGATTTAAATGTGCACTGCATTATGATGCATTGGATCTCATAACCCACCATTGTCCCCACTCCAACCCACTGCTTCTGCTGTCTACGGTGCTGAAACATGGACAGTAAAATGTTGTGCTCCCCTAATGTGTTAATTAAAACCATCCTTATGTAGGATTGCACCATATTCTGGTAATGAAGATTTGCAGAGTGTCCTTTTGGATAGCAAACCCAATGGGAATTGCTGACTGGAGGGAGACAAAGCAGCCAGTTCTGTCCATTTGCTCAGATATCTTGTAATATAAAATATCCCATCACCAAGAGTTCCCTCGCTGAAATGTAAGGAGTCTGTTAATCCACTATTTACAGCACTGGAGTATTCATTTTGTAGTCAACCCTGCAAAGTGGTGTAAGACTGGCTTCAATCATGCTGCTTGACCAGTACATGTCTTGTGCAATGGAAACTGACAGTCTGAAGGTCTCTCGTACAGAATAGACCTTGGTGGGATTTTTTTTCTCCTTTGTCTGCTGGAGTGTCGGGATCAAACTAAGCCCCTGAGATCATAACCGCAAGCAAAGAGTCCAGAGTCGATGTGAGCTATGAGCAACATGTTCGTTCTCTCTCATGCCCATCTCTTGCACTCTGATCCAATTAGCAGCTACCTTGGTAGCTCATGAAATATTTGCATGTCCATGCAGCTGAGCAGCCTGTTCACCAGCAATGAATTTGTCAGTTAGGTGCTTCTCAGTGAAAAAAAAATCTTCAAGATGAAAGCATGGGAAAAAAAATGAAGGTCTTCCTATTTTTCCAACCACCCCTCCTCCCCTCCACCCACCCCTGCTCCTTTGATGGCAAAAAATCCATCAAATTAACACATCAGTGTACTTGGATGTAATCTCCAGGGTTCAGTGCAGTGCCTTCTATCTGATCACACAGGAGGCCAGAATGATTTATCAATGCAAACCTAATAGTATCAATATGAATCTAACTAAAAATCAATATTTCATTACCAAATTGTTAGTGAGAATGAAGAAGAATTGCTGGAGTCCGACCATTCTCTAGGGTAGGTGCATATGGAGTTCAATGTGACAAAAAGAGTGATGCATGACTGGGGGCCGAGCAGAGGACATCCGGAGGACAGGCCACAATGTGGGCAAAATCTCAGAACAGCTCTTTTCACTTCTTCTCCCCCTGTATGAAAACAAAATCAAATGAAGAAAACATTATAATCAGAAACCTCGCACACAAAAGAACTGTATCACAGAAAAAGAATAAACTTTCAAAGTTTGTATTTTTTTTCAACTGCTAGACAGTTCCCAGGTGATGCTATTAAAGTGAGTAACTTATGCTTCCAACAATCGCTCAGTTTGTGTCTGAATTAAGCACTGATTATTTTACATCATGGAACATGCATTTCCTGAAGACAATTAAATTACTGCACTGTCATACGTTTATCTAACTAAAGATTGAAGTGCACTTCCTCTATTCTTTTTATGCTGCAGAGCACTGTGTATTTAGAGGTCTAGCCTGCAAGGGCATTAATGGTACAGTACAGCTTTAGAAGACAGGTATATGGAGCTAAGTCATGATTTTAATGAGTGATACGTGCCACAGGTTTGAGGGGTTAAATGGCCTGCAAATGTTCCCATAGTCCTCCATATTTCATGAGCAATGTGATATAATTTGCTAGTTCTCACTTCACAAGCACATTAACTAGTTTGTGCAAAACTACCATTTTTAAAGGTTATTCTGTTCCCCTGTTACTGCTCTGCATGTCAAGCACCCCCTCCCTGACCAAGAAACAAATTGTTCTTTAATCTCTGCCCATTGTTATTTTTCTGACTGCCTACACACTAACAGATGAGAGCAGCCAATAGTGAATTCCCATACAAACTTGTCCTATACTCTGTCAATTCTAGTCACAGGCGTCAGCCACATCACCATGGACAACCTACTTGTCTTTAGAACATAAGATCATAAGAACCAAGACCAGGAGTAGGACCATCTGTCCCTTACAGCCTGCTGCGCCATTCAATAAGATCATGGCTGATCTTTTCATGGACTTAGCTCCACTTACCCACCCTCTCACCATAATCCTCAATTCCTTTACTGTTCAAAAAAATTATCTATCTTAGCTTTAAAAATATTTAATGAAGAAGACTCAACTACTTCACAGGGCAAGGAATTCCTCAGATTCACAACCCTTTGGGTGAAGAAGTTCTTCCTCAATTTCGTCTGAAATCTGCTCCCCCTAATTTTAAGGCTATGCCCTCTTGTTCTAGTTTCACTCACCAGTGGAAACATCCTTCCTGTTTCTATCTTTGAGGCAGTTTCATCTACAGACTCGGCTACAAAAACCAGGCTGAGCCTTATGTGTGATAATGAGAGAGAGTGCTGCACTTTTGAATGTGTCTTCATCCAAGGATTGAGGCCCAATTTACCATTTGGGTCAAGGTAAGGGATCCTCTGGCATTATTCTGAAGAGCTGGGAGTTCTTCTCTATGTTCTGATCTATAGCAGTTTTGTGTATGAGCTTGCTGTGTGCAAACTGGTTGCCATGGTTTCATAAGAAATAGGAGCAGGAAGAGGCCATTCAGCTCCTTGAGCCTACTCTGTCATTCTTTTAGATTATGGCTAGTCTTCACACTAAATGCCATTTTCCTGTAATATCCCCATATCCCTTGAAATATTTAATACCGAGGAATATATTTTAAGTATACTCTGACTGAGCATCCACACCCCTCTGGAGTAGAGAATTTCAAAGAATCAATACCCACCAGAGATGAAGGACCTGTTCCTCTGCTATACTCTTCTGTGTTCTATGTACTGGGTGAAGAAATTCCTCCTCATCTCAATTCTCAGTAGACTACCTCTTATTCTGAGACTGTGTTTCTTGGTTCTGGATACTTGAGCCAAGAAAATAGCCTTCCTGCATCTACCTTGTCCAGCCTGTATGACTTTTGAACACTTCAATATTCATCACCTGTCATTCTTCTAAATTCAAGACAATACAAGCCCTTGCTCCTCGATTGTTAAAGGAAAATTCTGCCATCACAGGGATCAGTCTGCATTCCTTTCCTGCATTCCAACATTGCAACAGTGACAACATTTGCAGGATGGCAGTAAAGTATTTTGAAAATGAGAACCGTTGGAAAGTTACAGCACAGAATGAACCGTTCAGCCCACTTTGTCTGCACTGGTTGAGATAAAAGGTAGCTGCCCATTCTAATGACACCTTTCTGTAACCAATCCATAGCCTTGCAAGTTACAGGACTTCAGTTGCAGATCGTGTACCTTTTAAACAAGCTGAGGGTTTCTGCCTCCACCATCAAACTGGACAGTGAATTCCAGACACCTTCTGGGTAAAAAAAACTGTCCTCATTGTCTCCTCTAATCCTTCCACCAATCATCCTAAGGCTGTGTCCCCGGTAATTGACTTTTCTGCTAGGGGAATAGATTTTTTCCTATCTATTCTACTTAGGCCCCTCCTAATTTTGTACAGTCTAATTAACTCACCCTTCTAGCTCCTCTCTTCTAATGTCTATCCATACTTTCCTCACAGCTGCATGCTTCGGGCCTGAGTAACATTCTTGTAAATCTCCTCGGACTTTTCTGTAATGTGGTGACTAGAAATGTACGCAAAATTTCAACTGTGGCTTAACCTGTGCTTTGTACAGCCCCAGCATTTTAGCCCTGTTTTTGTATTCTATACCTCATCTAATAAAGGAAAGCATTTATGTGCTTTCTTTACCAGCTTGTTGATCTGTCATGCCATCTTCAAGCACATTTGGACATGCACTCAAATGTTTCTGATTTCCTTTACCCCTTCCATTTATTGTGTATCTTCCAGTTTGGTTTGCCCTTCCCAGATCGATTAGGTTACAGTCTTTTGGAGCCTTGTGCTTTCAAATAAACCTGCTGGACTAGAACCTGGTGTCATGTGATTTCTGACCTTTGCCACCCCAGTCCAACACCAGCACCTCCACATCAAATCCATTACCTCACACTTCTGAGGACTGAATTCCATTTAGCACTTTTCCACCTCATCAACCAAACTATTGATGTTCTGGAGTCAACAGTTATCTTCGTCATTATTAACTACATGGCTATTTTTGTGTCATCTACAAATTTGTTAATTATGTTTCCCACATTTAAGCCCAGGTCATCAATTTATACATCTAACAGCAAGGAAGCCAACACTGAGCGCTATGTAACACCACGGGAAGTCACCTTCCCTTAGCAAAAACATCCATCAGCCATTACTCTTTCTCTTCTGTCATTCAGACAATTAAACTCCCAACTTACCACAATTCCCTCTATGCCTCAAGCTTTTATGTTTCTGACCAGTCCACAATGTGGCACCTTGTCAAATGCCTTATGGAAATCTATGTAGTTGACATCTACTGCACTATCCTCATTAATCCTCTTTTTCTTCCTCAAAAGAAATCAATTAACATATGACTTCCCCTGTAAATTGGTGCCTTTCTAACAGTCTATCCTGTCTCTCGGAATTGATTCTCATAATTTGTTCACTGACCCGCCTATAAACATTAGGCCTATCATGCACACCCTATTTGAATAATAGTACAACATTTGCAGACTTCCAGTCCTCTAATACCTCGCCTGTACATAGTGAGGATTGGAAAATGATCCTCAGACCATCTGTTACTTCCTCACAGGCTTTCTTTAACAATCTGGGATATAATCCATCCTACCCTGGCAATTTAAACACCTTCAAGAATATCAATTTCTCCAGTACTTCATCTTGCATTATGCTTATTTTATCTACTATTTCACACTTCTCATCTCAACTAGAATGTTTGTGTCATATCTCCACTTTGTGAAGACAGAGTCAAATTAACCTTGCCAAATCATCTGCATCCATGCAGAAGTTCCCCTGTATATCTCTGATAGATAGGTTCGACTTTTTCCTTACTCATCCATTTGCTGTTTAATGTATTGACAAATTAGTGTTTGGTTTTCCTTGATTTGAGCTGCAAATATTTTTTTCATATCCTTCCTTTGCTTTCCAATTTTCCTTTCTTACGTTACCACTGTACCTTCTATACTCATCTAAGCTTTCTACATTATCACATTTTTTTGAGACTCACCCAGACATTTTCTGCTTTATCTGAACCTGCATGCTTCTAGATAACTAGGGGCTCCCAGTTATGGGCAGTGCCACCTTTTTACTTTGTGGGGGCATATCTGCACATTCTTGCTTTTGAATGCCTCCCATTGATTTGACACTGGTTTTTCTTCAAGTAGCAAGCCTATCTCTCCCCAATAACCTTTCAGTTTCTTAAAATTTGTCTCCACCCAAATTTAAAGCTTTTACTCCTCTTCTATCTTTGTTCTTTTCTCTAATTATGCTAAATCTAACTATATTATGGTCACTATCTCCAAAATGGTCACCAACTGCTTCTTCATGCATTTGCCTGGCTTCATTTTCTAAATCTAAATCTGTCGTAGAATTTGTTACCTGTTGGCTAAAAATGTTCTCTAGAAAGCAGCTCAAGAGTTTTGCGCTTTCTGTGGCTTTCACATTGATCATACACCAGTTGATATGTGAATAGTTAAAGACTCCAACCATTATTTCCCTGTTATTTTTGCACTCAGAAACTTGCCCACACATTTGCACTTTGCCTCCCTCAAATATTTAACGGTCTATAGTACACTCCTCACAGTGTGACAGCTCTTCTTTGTCTCTGAGCTCAACTCATATGGCCTCATCAGAACCTGACTTGAAACCAGTCATTGGGTTAGAAATGTTAGCTGTGTTTTCTTCCCTCAGATGCTACCAGATCTGTAGAGTTTCTATTTTCATTTCAGATCTCCAGTATCTGCAGTTCTTTGTTTCATTTTATATTATTATGGTTTCATTTGACAATTCATTCAGTATATCATCCCTCCTCACAGTTGTAATTGATCCCTTAAATAAATAATGCTACACCCTCACCTTTTTCATGTCAACTCTATACTGATTGAAAACTCTATATCCATGGAAGCTGAGCTGCTATTTTTGCCCCTCTTTAAGTCAAATGGCCATTATACCAATGATGCCATGTTGCCATATGTCTACCTGTATATCAACTGTACTTGCTATAAACCATGCATTTACATATATACCTTTCAACACTGCCAAATTCCTGTGCAGTACAAAATTTAACCTTTGGTCCTCTGACTTTAGA